GATCTGGATAGGTTACAGGGGTGGGCTAACAGGAACAGGATGCGTTTTAACACGGACAAGTGCAGGGTGCTGCACTTGGGCAGTAGGAACCAGCAGCACACTTATACAATGGGGAACTCCTTACTCGAGAGCACGGAGGCAGAAAGGGATCTTGGAGTCATTATTGACTCCAAGATGAACATGGGCCGACAATGCGAGGTCATGGTTGGCAAGGCTAACCGGACCTTGTCGTGCATCCACAGGTGCATCTCGAGTAGAGCCAAAGAGGTGATCCTCCCCCTCTATGCGACACTGGTCAGGCCACAGCTGGAGTATTGTGTCCAGTTCTGTGCGCCCCAGTTCAAGAGGGATGTGGACAATATGGAGAGGGTCCAGAGGAGGGCCACCCGCATGATCCAGGGACAACAGGGCAGACTCTACAGTGAGAGACTGCGGGACCTGAACCTATTCAGCCTCCACAAGAGAAGGCTAAGGGGGGACCTGGTGACTGTCTATAGACTCACTAGGGGGGACCAGAAGGGTTTGGGGGAGACGCTGTTTCCCCTAGCGCCCGCTGGCATAACAAGGAGTAATGGGCACAAGCTGATGGAGAGGAGGTATAGATTGGACATCCGCAAAAACTACTTCACGGTTAGGGCGGCTAGGAGCTGGAACCAACTTCCAAGGGAAGTGGTGCTGGCCCCTACCCTGGGGGTCTTTAAGAAGAGGCTGGATGCCTACCTGGCTGGACTCGTTTGAGTCCCATTTCTCTTTTTGGGGTTTTTTGTTGTTCTCCCGCCCTGGCGGGGGGTCGGGCTAGAAGATCTACTAGGTCCCTTCCGACCCTTAATCTATGAATCTATGAATCTATGATCCAGTTGCATGAGAACGGAAAGACAGTACTATCCCTTGACCTAAGATGTGTTCATGTGACTTGAGTAGCAGTAGTATAAAGTTACTTGCTGGAAACTGCAACAATTCATATGATTCTGCTTGGGTTTTCAGGAAAAGGAGGTAATAGCTCTTCACTGTGGGAGTGCAGTGACGTTGGGGCACAGGTAGGACAGGGATAGCTGTGAAGATATTTATTTCCAGACTGCTATTTGTGTGCGGGGAGGGGCGGGGGAAACAGATAAGTGAGATAGGTGACATCAGGCAGTACGAAACATCGGATCATAGAATCATACATAATTAGGGTTGAAAGGGACCTCAGGAGGTCATCTAGTCTGACCCCCTACTCAAAGCAGGACCATCCACAACTATAGGATAATTCCTTTTGATGCACAGGAGCCATTTTTTTTCACAATGACAAGAAGAAATTAAACAATTCAGGTTATATCTACATGGCCTAATGCAGATCTGTGTAGAGATCCCCTCAGAAGCTTGATATGTGAACCTGGGTGGAGCCCCATGCTACCACACCTATACTGCTATATTGGCCATCTCTGCATCTAAGTCCTGTTTAGGTGCCTAGTCAACTCATCTAAATCACCCCAATCCTTCAAACACTTATATACATTCTTCACTTTACTACTGTGAGCAGTCCCACTTGGATTAATCAGGGCTGTTCACAGTGATAGGGCAAGGCATGTCCCTAAACATTCTCAAGATTGGAGCCAAAGGTACACTGATGGAATTGAAATGAATTGAGGTTATAATTCTAATAGATGAGAAAGCGATATTGAAGCTGGAAGTGTGAAATTTACTCTGAGAAACATGGTTTCACTCTAGTCGCTAACAAATTTACCATTGACTTGAAGAGGGTCAGGATTTCACCCGTGGGGGAGAGTAGGGGAGGGAAGCATTGACTGGAATATAACAAATCGGACTTTGTTGCAAAATGACAGTCAAATAGATCATTGCACTGACTTTCTCATGATGGCAAAATAATGATAATATATCCATTTCTGAACTGGCACTTTCAAGGACTGCTCCCCCACTCATTCTGCAGTTTTAGTTTATGTTCCATGTCACTGACAAGAGGATGACCATCATCTTGACCTAGATGTCATCTGTTTTGCCTCTCTGGTTTACAAGAATGTATCTGTTTTAAGTTTGTGAATAGTGATAAATGGCAGAGACTTTTTTAAAAATCTATTTTTCTATTTTAATGTAATATTTTTAAAGTGGTTTTTAAGCCAAATCAAAAGCCCTGGAGCACGAGATTCTTTGCTTATTTAGTAGGTGCACAACAGACAATAGGTGAAATGCAGCTCCCCATGTTGCCCTGCTACATGCCTCAAATCTGACCTAGAGAAACCACCTTTAGGGCAACAGTTTTAAAAGTAGGAGTCAACCCTGTTTGGGGTTGCAGTACTCACCAATGGAGTTGTGGGCACTGAACAGGCTTCGACTTCAAGGTTACAAACCAGTGATAAGTTGGGTCGTGAGCCTGGGAGTGACACTGCAGCTCAAAAAAATTGGAACTGCTGCTCTAAGAGTGATGAAGTAGTTCATTCTTCCAGCTCATTCAATTTATTGGAAATTGAACCAAAGTCTGCCTGGTAAGGGCACCAGTGAGGGGACTCATAATACTATTAGTGTCAACTGTGATACTGATACCTGCCTATTGGCAAATGAACCAACACCGCATTTCAGATGGGAAAGTCATTAGTAATCTGGGTGAGATTTAAACAAACTGGAAGTGATGGAAGCATTCGTATCTCATCAGTTACCTACTAAATGAAAAAGATCATGGAAATGAAATGAAATTTTACTAATTTTTTTTTTTGGATTTGTTTAAGTTTTTAAAACTAAATATCCAACATGAAGAGGATATCAGTAGCAATACTTTCCTCCTATATTTCTTATTTTACAATTAAACTCCTGAAAATCTGTAAAAGGTTAGCTCCTGCTCTGACTGACTTCTTACATAGGATGCCTGTCCATAGACACTTGATGTAAGTCATCTTGCAAGTATTTTTTAATCTTAATAATTCTTTTTTTGCCAAAGATGCCCCAAGGGTTGCAGATTAGTCAGTTCTTAGAGATTAAGCTTTCCAAGAGAAAACAGAGAAGTGGGAGCTGGCTGATTTGGTCATCAAACCAAGCACATTCAGAAGTACAATAAAGTCTGGGTAGATGAATACCTCTTAGAGGAATATGCTTGGTTCTGTCAAGCTGGAGGAAGTGCTTTAGTTGGAGAGCATTCCTGACCCATGTACATACCCCCGGTACTACATCAGCTCTTGACTTTGTGTCTTAGGAAAAAGAGGTTGCACTCCCCCACAGTCATCTGCTACCTCACAAGACTGACTGATGGGCCTGGAAAGCCATTAAAGTACCTCATTCAATATTCATCTCGCAGGGAAATCAGTGTCTTTGGACAATAAAAGAGGAAGCTGATTTGATAGCATGTAGTGGGTCACTTCTGGGCCCTGCTGTCCACCCCTGCAGAGGAATAGAGGGTTGTGTGTTGTGTTGTTATTCCTTTGTATTGATTACGTGCATAGAGGGTCCCCCCATTTGGAAGTGATCAACATAATTGAGCCAGCACGGAGGGGGAAATAAGCTGCTCAAGGAAAAGGGCTGGCTACTCCCGTGGAGCAATGTTGAGGTGGAGACTGAATTGTAATTGAACGTGATTTCTGCTGAACTCTTTAAATAGGACTATACCTGCCTTCACGGTTTACTTTTCCATTTTCCCCTCCAAATGTTTTTATCTTCCTATCCTTGCTTTAGATTGTAAGTGTTTTGGGGCAGCGTTCATCTTTTTCTTCTTTGTTTTAAGGCGCCTCATATTCCATGACTGGAGTACTCGGGCACTACCACTGTGCACATATAACAGTACATCTTTATCTGTACAAACAGATTGTCTGTGCAAACATGGATAGGGATGGAGTGGAGATCAGCAAAGGAAGGGACCTGGATCTCTTCAGCTTCCGTAAGAGAAGGCTGAGAGGTAATATAGTGGCTGTCTACAAACTCGTTGAGGGAAGGGGGAGAGGGCAGCAAGAGATAGGAGATGCTCTGTTTACCAAGGCAGTAGTTACTGGAGTAACTAGAAACAATGGCCACAAACTGACAGAGAGCAGTTTAAATTAGACATCAGGAAGAACTTCTTTATGGTAAGGGTTATCAGAATCTGAAATGGGCTTCCAAGGGAGGTGGTGCTCTCCCCTATCTTGGGGGTCTTTAAGAGAAGACTGGACAAACACCTGGGGCTGGGGTCATCTGATCCCAGTGCTCTTTCCTGCCCAGGGCAGGTTGTTGGACTCAATGACCTACTGAGGACCCTTCCAACCCCAAAAATCTATGAAATCTAGGAAGCGTCAACTCAGGAAGGGAATTGGAAGGTAATATTAGGTGGAAGAGTATGAGGGTGCAAGGTGCACAGGGCCAGAAAAGATGTTCCAAGAATAAAAGATGTCACGAGAAAAAGATGGGTATAGAACTTCTGGTGAGAAAAAAGATAAAGGGGATGAAATGTGTCATCCAACAGAGCACAGGGTGTGCACCAGGACACAGCAGCAACTAGAATGAAACAGAGTTCAGGGCAGAGACATAGAGATAGATAATAAATACAGATCAATGTCCTGCAAAATTATAAAGTCGACCACTGAGGAACACTATGTTATAGAGTGTTAATCTATGCCCAGACAGATGTTCTTTTAAACTCTCCTTCTGTTCCTACTGTTGCTTATAATAAGATGTTACTAATCTGTTAGCAAGTCAGAGAGACTTTTTTTCTAGAGGCTGGGATGCTGTGCAGTTTGGGATTAAGGAAATCTGCCTTTTAATTCTTTCTCTCCCACTTTTTTCCACTCTTCAGACCAAACTCGGTCCTGGTGAAGTCAGTTTTGTCATACCATGGCTTAATCTTGTTTCCACTGAGGTCTTCGCAGGGTTTTCCTTTTGGCTTCAGTGGGAGATAAATGAGCCCCTTTAAGAGCAATAATTACTTGCACAGATCAGCCCAAGTCCCAACAGGCTAAAAACTGTCATGATGACTGCTTCTTCTGTAGCACTTGCCAGGCCCTACAGTGCAAAGTCAATAAGGCTTTTCCTTTCTGAATTTGCAGGCTTGGAGATCATGGCGAAGAATGAGGTTGAAAAAGCCACCACTGGCTGGATTCTGCTTCTTGCTTGCCTTGTCTGTGGTGGCATTTACTAGTTTTCCTTCACGATGTCCAGGCAGCTATGTAGAGCCTGGTTTCCAATACTTGACACTAGCTGAACCACACAGAAAAGCCATCCAGCCCAGGCGTCTGTGGATGAATACCACTGACTCCATCCTCTGGCAGCGAGGGGGTTTTGGCCACAGAAAAGGGGAACAAACTCCACACGGCACCAATCAGGGAAGGCAAGCCTCGCATAAACCCAGCCTGGCTTACAAGCAAAAGAACAAGCCAGGTGACCAGCTCAGACAAAACCACAAGCAGTTGAAAGAGAAGAGAAAGCACAATAGGCAGATGAGAAAACATGTTATGAAGAAAAGCTCCAAAGAAAGCAGTAAGCTGTGGTATGAAAGCATTCCCCTCAGGACCAACACTGAAAAGAAAAGGGAGCTTAATGATCATTTCCATGCACTTGAAAGGGAGAAAGTTGTTATGGGACCATCAAGGAAGGGGGCCCCCTTCTATTCTTTTTCAGTCAGCAATAAAAGACGTTTATGGTCTGGAAGTCCTGGGTTTGTTACACTTCTAAAGAACTCTACTGTAGGCCAAGTCGGGCCACAGGACCAGAGCAAAGCAGGTGCACATTCACCTGGGGCTGGGCAGCAGTATTCAGAATTGGTGAATGCTTTTCTCTCAGAAGCAGGTAACAGGCTGCCCTTCAAAAACACAACTGGTGCTAAGAGATGGGCAGACAGTCTCTCGCAACATCCTGGAGAACAGGGAGGTCGCTTTTGGATGGACATGGCAGAGAGGTTACAAACTTCTGAGTGGTGTATGAAGATGACAGAGGATGCCTTTCCTGCTCGAAGAAAAGGTGGCCTGAGGTTTGGTGGGAAGAAACCGCCGTGGTTTACAGAGGACGATGTGCAGAAGATGAAACTTTTGGCAAACAGTGAGGTGGTGTCCAAAACCAGAATTCCTGCCCATGGGCAAATACTCAGAGTTAGCCTTTCAGCTGGCCAGGATACAGTCTCCTCTGACCCAAAAAGACCTTGCTTGGATGGGCTCTGTGGATTAATAAAACGGCCCAGTGATCTCTATGAGGTTCTAGCTTTCCATTTGGACAGAGTATTGGGGTTGAACAGGAGTCTGCCGGCAGTGGCCCGTAAATTCAAGAGCCATGTGCTTCCCTACAAATACACCAATGGTGAAGCGAGACCCATTATATGGTGGGCACCAGATATCCAGCACCTCGATGATGTCAACAATGACCAGAACTCCTTTGCACTAGGGTGGCTCCAGTACCAGGATCTGCTGCAGCTGCAGTGCGGCATGGTAGATTCCACTGCACCTCTTGGAAAAGCTCCTTGTTTGAGCATCCAGCACACAGAATGGACCAAATTGGCACTCTTTGATTTTCTTCTACAGGTATGCTGGGTGTTGGGAACAATTTTCTTTCTCCTTTCTTCTCTGCTTTCCCAAGGTATTAAATAGGACTCTGTGTATGTTTGTGTGGTTATGTATTTGTAAGGAGATAAATGGAGACCTGGTGACCGTCTATAAACTCACTAGGGGGGATCAGAAGGGTTTGGGGGAGACGCTGTTTCCCCTAGCGCCCACTGGCATAACAAGGAGTAATGGGCACAAGTTGATGGAGAGGAGGTATAGATTGGACATCCGCAAAAACTACTTCACGGTTAGGGCGGCTAGGAGCTGGAACCAACTTCCAAGGGAAGTGGTGCTGGCCCCTACCCTGGGGGTCTTTAAGAAGAGGCTGGATGCCTACC